GAATTTTATCAATCGACTTTTTATTGCCATTTCCGAAAATAAATAAATCATCAGCGTAAAATAAATGACTCACCACCATTCTTCTAGAGTGAAAAGGCTGAATTTGATTTCTTTCAAAGGCTTGATTGATCATTCTTGATAAGAGTCCCTGTGCCAGAATAAACAAATATGGGGACAGTGGATTCCTTTGGCATAATCCTCTAGATGGTTTAAAGAAACCTCATGTCTTCCTATTAAGCATAATCAAATAAGTAAGAGAGGAGATGTAATTATAGACAAGGTTTCTCCACTGATCAGAGAATCCCAATTTTCTTAGAGTCGCAAGAAGGTATCCCTAATTTACTCTATCATATGTTTTGGCCATATCGATCTTCATTAAAATGTTACCTCCCCTCCCTGCGCGCACATTCTTATTAACTCTATGTACGAACTCTTGGGCAATTGATATGTTATCAAAAATACTTCTTCCCTGAATAAAAGCAGATTGTTCCAGAGAAATCAGTGTATCAAGCAAAGGTGCCATCCTAGCCACCATAATTTTGGATAACATCTTGTACACCACATAACAAAGACTGATCGGCCTGAATTTGTTAGGGGATTCCACCTTTGGAATCAGAATAATATTTGTTGTGCCTAATGTATTATTTAAAGGGGATCCCCCGAAAAATTCTATAACCACTGCAAGGAGGTCAACCTTAATAATATCCCAAGAATTAATAAAGAAACTTGCACTAAAGCCATCAGGTCCAGGACTATTATCTTTAGGGATACACCAAAGAGAATCTTTCACCTCCTCCAATATTGACGGCTTGCACAAGGAAAAATTTTCATCCTCTGGCAATAGGTGTAACTGACAATAGATCATTGAAAAACTGTACTGCACCCTCATGAATATCTTTAGCCGATTTTAACATTGGACTATATGCCAGAATCATGTGGTCAATAGTTTATCTCTTTTTTTTTTTTTTTTAATTCTTAACAGATGCATGAAAAAATTTAGTGTTTCCATCACCCTCTTGAAGCCGTTTAATACGTGATTTTTGCCTCCATAAAACTTCCTCCCTTTCGAGCCAAATCGCGTATTATTTTCTACATTGCAATAGCTGTTTTTTCAGTTTCTCGTCAGAAACTATCAATCAAAGAGTTCTCCAGGTGATTCAGTTTGTCTTCAAAAAAACTTATTTCCTGTTGCACCCGCCCAAAAACTTGATTGTTCCAAAGCCTTAAAGCCTTCTTTAAAGTACGAAGTTTAAGCCCAAGACAAACCATAGGAGATCCAGTAACTTTTTTCTCCCAAATTTGTTTCACAAAAGGCAGGAAATCCTTATGAGAACACCACATACGTAAAAATCGAAAAGGTCGAGGATCCTACAGATTCGTAGTATCCCTGCAGCGTAAAATCATCGTACAATGATTCGAGGATGTCCGATCCAAATAAGACATCGAAACTGATGAAAATTGATTTTTAAGATCCTGATCCACCAAGATACGATCTAAACGAGCCCATATTCGAATAGTTCATTGCCTTCCATTACATCATGATAGTTTCGGTCCATCAAAACGTATACTAATCAAACCCGTATCATGAATAAAGTCGTTAATATCTTGTTCAGCCGTCGAAGTTGAGTACAAACCGCCCACTTTCTCATCATTGGATCGAACTGTATTAAAATCACCTCCTATTAACCACCCAGAACGTCAACTGTCTAACTATTTTAACTGTTCCCACAATTCCTTTCTACGCCTTTGACAACAACTAGCACAGACAAAAGAAGCAAGTACCCGAACATTTCCAAAACCAAACCATCCCGATATCATTTGATCCGATGAACTAATCAACGAAAAAGAAAGATCATTATCCTAAAATATCCAAATTTTGCCCCCTTCTGCACAATTAGAAGCATAATACGAAAATCTCAAATGTTTAGCCAAACATGCAATGTTACCAACCGACACAAAAGGCTCCATTAAAACTAAAATATAAGGATTGTATTGTTTTCTCAAAGACAACAACCCGCTCTTAGATGATACCACACCCCTTAGATTCCATATAAGGATATTCATCATCAATAAGATTTTTTGGATCTCATGGTGATTCCTAGAGTCACCCTTTTTCGATTATATTCTCTGACTCGTTTTAGAGGGCCTGCCATATTGTGGTCAGTGTCATAATTAAGAACTTCTAATTCAGGTAGTTCATTATCATACTTACCCTCAGATGTGATCTGTGTTTCCAATGCCTGTGACTCGATCTGTAGGAATTTTCCAGCTTGATCAATATGTGGAAGAGCTTCTCCTCTTATTATTGGCCAGCAATGTTTTCCATGACATCCATAACCAGAACTTCTTGAACAACGTTAGTATCTCCCTCAAAATAGCTTGCTCAAGTATAGAGTCCTTAAAGACCATGTTTTTCTCCATATTTTCCATGAAGTCCAGATCCCCGTCATTTCCATTGGTTTCACCCTCAATTCTATTGGTTTCTTCAATATTCTCCACAGAACTATCATTTGTTACTACCGTTTTATTCTGACAGCTTCTATCCATCTCTTCCAGTTTTCGGTCGTGCACAGCCTTTACTTTCGTCGCAACTCTTCCATCATTACTTACAAACAGGGTCCAGGCCGAAGGGATCAATATATCATGCTGCAGAATTCTATTCATTTTCTCTCGTTTCTGGTACCCAACTTCTCAATCTGGTCCGCTTTTTCTGATGCCAATCCACTCCTCTCTTCCTTTCTCCTCCACACATTTTTTGGTTCTGTAGGATTAGTTATAGGATGCTTAGCACCTCCATCCTCCTTCTTTTTACATGAAACCTCCAGGTGACCCTGTATCCTACATCTGTGGTAGAACCTTGGGAACTTTTCATAAACAATTTCTTGACATCTACGAGAAGCGCATGCTATAAAGTTATCCCTCTTCAAGAACCGGCCAAAAGCTCCTGTGATAATACGCAATATAGATTCTTGATAAAAATGGGGAGGTAACCCAGGAAGAAATACCCAAATAGGAACCAGAGAAGATTCTTGATCTTAATCGAAATCCTGAGACCCAATGAATAGTCGATACGGGGCACCATCTATGTCCGAAGATTCACGTGCACATGCAATACCGAAATCCTACTCTGTAGTGAAACGAATGAATATGTTACGTGGTCTTTGCATTGTACTGACCGGGAAGAAACCCTTGATTCCTCAGCGAGATTTGATAAATAAGCAGATCTGATCCAACGTGGGTCTTCTCTTCAAGAACTTCAACATGACGGAAAATCGGAAAGGCGACGCCGCTTGCTCCAGTTCAGTCTTGGAAAGGTGAAACCACAACGATCCCTCATTCTCATTCGGCTGTCTCATCTCAATCTTTACTTCAGGGATAGGCTGAGGCCGGGCTTGCACCATAAAGGCGTACGTAGCAGTCCTCCCCATCTCCTGGACTGGTGGTCGAGGAGGGGCCGCCTCCTGCTGTGTTTGCATAAACCCTAGAGAACTTGCATGCAAAAAAACCTAGCTGGTGAGAGAGAATGTTTATTTTTTGTCTATACTAACTATACAGTTGGAATGACAACTTATTTACACTTAAGTTCATAGATCATAGTTCACCTCTTGGAAGCGAGCCCAACAATGGTTGGAACATAGGCAAAGATGAATAAATAAACAAAACAAAGAACTCTTTATCTTAGACCCTGTTTGATGTGTCAAATTTTCCATGGAAGTTGTAAAATATTTTCCATTTTCCTTCTTTTTAGCTGTTTGATAGCCAAAATTTTCTAGGCAAAAAATTTTCCAACTTTGCTTCATTCTCCAGCTTTTTCTTGAATTTACTTTCCTATGGTTTTGGTGGTTTTTTTTTTTGTCAATGGAAACAAATTCTATCCCCAATTGTAAATTTTTTTCCCTTTAATGAACAATTTTCATGTAAAATAAAGCTAAACGAATACCAAAAGATCTAAAATTTCAATATTTTTCACGTGAAAAATTATACTAATCAAACACAATTAATTGAAAATCCCAAAAAAATAATTCTAGGTAATTCAATTCCCCGAAATTCATTTTCTTTCCATCCAAATTCCACAATCAAATGGACCCTTATTGTTGTTTCTGGATTACCCCTTTTTTTTTTTTTCTTTCTTTCAAACAATTTGAAGATACTTACTTGTACAAATTATTAGGACTATATTTGAAAAGGGTAACATGATGAAAATGGAGCAATATAATTAATAGAAACAAATAAGGAACAAACAATGAACAACATGTAATTTGACCCCGCCGACCCACGAAGTATTATTAAGATGAATTTGCTTCATTCTATGGTGCTTAGAGGCCGTCAACAATCTACTCCCGAAATAGAATGAATTCGCTTCTTACCGAAGGAGAACAACAATCAACACTAATAATGTAACATTGACATCACTTGTACATAAATTAGTGATCATCAACACTGATAATGTATAGCATTATTTGAAACTAAATATGTATTTCCATATCACATAAATGAGAAAATGGGTGTGTAAAAATGGAAACTCAGGATAATAGTGTCAAGAAATAAAAGTTAGAAAAAAAAAGTGCAGAATGAAATAGAATGAGGAGGTGTAGTGAAATATTTCTCTTCACGTTGACCAGCCTTAAATGTGATAAAAAATTGCTTTGCCTTGTCATTTTGTTCCATGCCTTTTCCCTCGTCTTCATTTTTTGTTCTTTTCGACGCCATATTTTACTTAATAGTCTAATATGACAGCCACCATAAAAATAAAATATTCACGCTATAATAAACTATATGCCTTTTTTGAACAGCCCCAATTTATGTTCAACGGAATTTTGTATTTTGGTCGTAATATTTATCATTGTTGCCACATATTCTCTCTCTCTCTCTCTAAAAAAAATGTCTATATATACCTATATGGCCAAATGCACATCCCACAGGTGCCATAGAGAAGCAATAAAGCACCTCCTTCACAATATACAGCAAAGGTGTTCCAAGAAATTATTATCTATATATATATGATGAAGTCTGTTGTATTGAAATACATAGTTCTCATTTCATCCCAGCTGAAGTGGGCATGGGATGTCCTTCTTCACCAATCCTTCTTTCAGCCTCGTGGAGTCGAATTACCTGACTATGTTGATGACCTTACTGTGATGAGTTATGAAAATAATAACAATGCGGAGGGTGGGGATTCATCGGCAGAGTGTGCTGTTTGCTTATGCAGAATTGATGATGGGGATGAGGTTAGAGAGCTGAGATGCCACCATCTTTATCACAGAGTTTGCTTAGATAGGTGGGTAGGATATGGACACAGAACATGCCCACTCTGCCGGAATAACCTAAAGCCACGTCAACTGGCCGCGGACCTCCACCTGCAGGCGGAGGTGATAAAAATTAACTTCTGCGCCACCAGATCAAGGGAAGACCGGTGTACCTGGTGGCTGCGCTAAGTCTATCTCTAGCTACACAGAGGGTGTAGGATGGATTAGTACAAATAAGAAGTTTAGTAATCCATTTTTCTCATTTATTCCTTACTATGCTACCCGCTTGTGGTGTTTCTTTTATTGGTTCAATGTTCTTTTCCAAAATATATGCACATGCAGTTATGTTATTTGTAACGTTAATGACAATATATTAAATTGATATCTTCTTAATTGAATGAATTAAAAAAAACAAATAGATTCTCTTATTAAAACCAGTAACCGTAGAGTCCATGTTCTTAAACAATTGGATTCTCAACCTACGACACGTGTTTTTTAATAAGGAATGCTATTTATTATCACTAGCCATAATACTACATTGTTTATTGTATAAAAATGTGTCATAATTTTATTATAAAATGTGACATTGATCTTACTTCGACATATAGTTATGTTCATTATTGGTGAATCACATTATTCTAGTTAACGATCTTATAGTGAAATTTGGGCCCTGTTTGGGAGGGATTAGATTTTTTTGCAGTAAATCAATTCTCATTTTTAACCACACATTCTTCAATAAAATAATATTTTCCTTCACATCAATAATTTTTTCTTCTTTTTCAACCACACATTTCCCATCATATCACTATTCAAAATCAATTCTTCCCCAAAAAATCTCTCCCAAATAAGCTCTTGATTTTAGTTGTAGTTGTCTCCCAGTCATGAAAAGCACGGGCTTAGAACAATTTGACCCGTGAACCGTCCTGTGTTGGAATGCATGCCGGTCATCTAAAAGGTTTGAGCCATGCTCTATCCAATGGCACTTGGCTAGCCTGTAGGCCAGTCCATTCAGACCAATAACTTTAAAAAGAACATATAAAAGAATAATCAAAGATAATTAGCTTATATTTGGATCAAGTCTATAAACACTCAAATTATTTTTTATCTGGACGAGCAACCTACAATTGCTATCCTTTTATCCGTAATTCATTTATATATATATTTTTTATAATTTCAATCATATATAAACACTTCCCTAATTATTTTTCACCTACTCTAAATTAAGTTGCCAATTCGATTCATTTTTTCACTTTTACAATAGCAACATGATAATTACATATTTTATTTGTTTCAAATATTAGATTATTGTAATAACTATTTCATGATATGCTTCATATTCTATCTAAATTAGTTGATAACTGGATAAATTTGTTGATTGTGATTTCAAAAAGCCGCCCCTTAAACAATAATTGGATAAAAAACAGCCAAATTATCTAATTCCGTTTAAATAATTTAAGAAGTGAAACATTAAATTTGATGATATTTCATTTGAAAAGTTAACTTGTAACTTATTTATAATCACTGTCTCTCAAAATAGAGAGCATCTTGTATTTAGAGAATCTCATCGACATGTTGTTAATTTATAGAGATATGGAGTAAATAGCCTATTAGGATTTTAGATATACTAAAAGTATAAAACTATGGTCTAATTATATTAGAGGTCGACGGTGTTTTTCTCTTAGTTGCAATCGGGTCACTGAACTTCTATTGGAGCAGCCGAGCCATTCAATTCTAATATGGGAACTAATAAAAAAAAAAAACACTGCAAGCATTGGGCCGTGACTCCTTGGGTACTGGTGTTGGGTTGTGATAGACAAAAGGGCAGCATGACTGAGATATTGATCGGCCATGGCAACCGACCACGAGGTGTGCTCTACCAAGCTGATACCAATTCGAAGGAGCAAGTGCTAGCCACAAGAATTGTTGAAGATGAGCAGACTGACGCCTCGCAACAAAAACCAGTTACGAAAATATGTACTTCCAATTTCTTTCCCTAAAAGACTTCGACAGTGGATAGAGGAGGAGTTAATTAATGCAATTACTATACGAAGTGATATACAATTACTGGAAATCGCATTCATGAGACTGGTTGCAAACAGTCAAAAAGTGCCTAATAGTGACGAGGAACAAGCGAAAGATTTGAAAAAGTAAAAGATAATAAAGTGATGAGAAATTCAGATATTCCGAGCCGCTAAAGTGCCTCGCTTCTATTAAAGAAGGATTTTGCTACTTGTACATAAAAAATGTACATAAACGATTATCGAAAATGATGTGGAGGGAAAAATTGGATGAAAAAATTGATTGTATTTTAAACTAACAAATGCTAGAGTGTCATGTGGCATTATGTAATCCTTTATGTAAATCTGAATATACATGTAGCAAGACTCATCGAAGAATATGTTTTTCCCTTCCTATTTCAACAAAGTGTGAAGAAATGTAAATCTTAATGTACATGTAACAAGACTCATCAAAGAATATGTTTCTTCCATCCTATTTCAACAAAGTGTGAAGAAACACAAGCTAGACCAATAGTTTGAGGAGTTTTTGGACGTGCTAAAGAAACTTTACATCAATATTCCAATTATCGACACAATACTTCAAATTTCAAGCTATACAAGATTCTTGAAAGACATAATAACAAAGAAGATAAAACTTCCGAAATTTGGAACTTTGACGCAAAATATAGAAGATTCGTGTAAGATTGCAAAACAATCTGCCTCCCAAACTAAAAGATACCGGTAATTTTACTTTGTCTATTTCAATTGGAAAATATCGTTCTTTTACTGTTTTATGTGATATGAGTGCTAGTATTAATTTAATGTCTATATTAGTGTATAGGAAATCGGGACCGCCAGAAGTAAAAAAGAAACATCATTGTTGCTGCGGCTGGCCAATTGAATCATCAAATATTCTAGAGGCAAGGTCAAGTGACGTTAGGTAGAATAGTGATTATTCTGCAAACTGAAATTGGGCAAATTATTAACAGAGAATATTCCAAGAGAAAGCACAAAGAAAATAAGAGAAATCTTTATTATTCATCCAACAACCGAAAATAACCCACAAGCCGGGTTATATAACTCAAAAATTATAATTATCGAAATTTTACCAAAAATAACAAAATCTTAGTATTCATACCAAAAGAAAATATGTAATAAGAGAAATAATATCCAAAAAATCCGGCTTAATTCGAGTTCAAAATCTATGTTAAAAAGGAAAACAAAATATTACTAAAAAGCAAAAAAAATAACTTTAATTGGGGATTCGGAAAGGAAAATAGTGAAATTTTTCCTCAAAATTGATGCACAAGCTCAGTGACCAAGACGTGTGCGCCGAAAAGAGCTTTTCAAATTGGGGTCATGAGCGCAATTTTGATAACCGTAGCCAAAGTTATGGTCAAAATACCGAAACGTATCAAAAAACGGCCCCAATTAGGAAATATCGTCGATTACTTGCTATTTTTGCGCTGATCCACCAATTCATGGTATCTTAGCTCCATCAACGAGCTATCAGACAACTCGACATTATCTGACTCGAATTCTCCTGCATCAGTTGCCTCGGGTTTGAAAGAACTCACCCTCGAGTTCACATTAGTGTCGTCAGAATCCACAAAACAAGGACTTATGTTCTTTACATTAAAGACATCAGAAGTCTTCGAATGGGTAGGACCTCATATGGTCCAATTTTCCACTTTTTAAGCTTATTATACTCCCCAACAAGAAAACAATCACGAGTTAAAACCGCCCAAACAAAATCACCAACTTCAAAAAGTACTTGACGACGGTGACTATCAACCTGAACCTTGTACTTGGCATTACTCTCGTGAATGGTGAGTGATAAGTGTATTTTTGTACACTTATTTAATACTTTAAAATACTTATTATTGATTAAAATGAGCGAATNTCAAGTACCCCAGATGGATTCCGACCATAGACAATCTCAAATGGGCTCATTCCTGTGGTTCTATTCTTCAACCTGTTATAGGCAAATTCTACCTAAGGTAATGCCAAATCCCACTATTTCGGTTTAGTTCTTACCAGATTCTTCAAAAGGTTTCCTAAGCTCCAATTCACCACCTCGGTCTGACCATCTGTCTGGGAGTGGTAGGCGCTGCTAAAATTCAACCGCATTCCCAGCTTCTCCCATAAACTTCTCCAAAAATGACTCATAAACTTGGTGTCATGATCATAAGTAATTGATTGGGGAATACCATGCAAACGTACAATTTCTCTGAAATAAAGATAAGCAATTCGGGTAGCATCCATTGTTTTTCAACAAGCTATAAAATGGGCCATCTTTGAAAACTTGTCAACCACAATGAAAATAGAATCCAAGAGCCGTTAGGTACGGGGTCGTCCCAATACAAAATCCATACTGACATCAAACCATAGGGCTTCAGGTACTTGTAAAGGTATGTAGATGCCTGCATTAGTAAGAGTTCCCTTAGACCACTGACACACATAACAACGGCCCACATGATAAGCCACGTCACTCCTCAATTTGGGCCAATAATAGTTAAAAGAGACCAACTGTAATCCATGAAACAGATAGCCATTATGCAAAATAAAATCATGTAATTGATTATCAGTTACCTCTCGAATTATCTTCCCGAAGGAAGGGTCTACAGCATACATATCAGGAAATGCCTCAAATCCTACTACACTGGTGCTCATGGTGGTGAGGAATAATGTGCGACGGCTCAATGCATCTGCGATACGATTCAAACTCCCACCTTGGTGCCTTAGTGCAAACGTGGACTCCTACAAGTATGCTACCCACTTGGTATGCCGTCTACTCAGTTTGTGCTGACCATTGATGTACTTGAAGGTCTCATGATCAGTGATAAGAATGAATTCTCTCTCTATTAGGTAATGACGCTAATGCTTCAGGGACTGGACAATGGCATAAAACTTGAGATCATAGGTGGATTAATTCTTCGTTGACCCTGATAGTTTCTTAATGAAAAATGCTACTGACGCCCCCCCTGACTCAAAACACTACCAATGTCAACCCTATATGCATCGCAATTTACTTCAAACACCTTTTTAAAATCAGAAAGTGCCAAAACTGGAGCTTATGTCATCCTTTGTTTGACCAACTGAAAACTGGTATCTACCTGCTCAGACCATTAGAAAGAATGTCCCTTGAGGCACCATGCGATTGGGGCAATTAGGGTGCTGAAGTTTCTTATA